ATTAACATAGGCTTTACAAGGCCAAATTTGAAAGGAATCTATTTTTTTAATATATTTTTATTGATTTCAGAGAGGAAGAGAGAAGGATAGAGAGAAAGAAACATCAATGATGGGAGAATCATTGATCAGCTGCCTCCTGCACGCCCCACACTGGGGATGGAGCCCTCAACCCAGGCATGTGCCCTTGACCATATCGAACCCGGGACCCTTCAGTCTGTAGGCCAACACTCTCTCCACTAAGCCAAACCAGCTAGGGCAGGAATCTGTTTTATTAATTTTTTAAATATATTTTTTATTGATTTCAGAGAGGAAGGGAGAGGGAGAGAGAAATAAAAACATCAATGATGAGAGAGAATCATTGATCAGCTGCCTCCTGCCCACCCCCTACTAGGGATCGAGCCTGCAACCCAGGCATGTGCCCTTGACTGGAATGGAACCTGGGACCCTCAGTCCTCAGGCCAACGTTTTATCAACTGAGCCAAACCAGCTGGGGTAGTTTTATTAATTTTTTATGTTCTTAGCTTTGTTCACATTTATCATGATTTCATTAAGCTTTTCTTTTCATGTTTGCTTTAAATTTTACTGTCATATTCATTTTTTAAAAGAATATGTTTTTATTGATTTTAAAGAGGAAGGGAGAGGGAGAGATAGAAACATCAATGATGAGAGAATTATTGACCGGCTGCCTCCTGCATGACACCTACTGGGGATTAAGCCTGCAACCCCAGGCATGTGTCCTTGACCAGAATCAAACCTGGGACCCTTCAGTCCACAGGCTGATGTTCTATCCATTGAGCCAAACTGGCTAGGGCTCATATTCATTTTTAAAGAGATGATAAGACCAAAGTGAAATGGCTAAAAAAGAAATTAGGTGATTTGAGTTTTCTTCTCTAAGAAAAGAAGCCTTTCAACAACAGAGTTTTTATTTTGAATTATATGTAAACCATTGTTAAAATCTTTGCTTTACAATATTTTCTTCTCTAGTCATTTAATGGAAGCACTTCTTAGAGAAAGGTAGGTAGATTATATGATGTCCATTTTACATCAAAGAAGATGTATACATGAGAGGTCATGTGACTTCTCCAAAATCTCACCTTGAGTCATAAAAGGAGAAATCAAATCTCCTCAGCCTTTTACTGTGTCCACTTCATGCTGTGTTCACTGATTTGATTTGATTTTTAAATGTTTTTATTGATTTTAGAGAGAGGGAGAGAGAGATAAAACACTGATGAGAAAAACATCAATCAGCTGTCTCCTGCATGCCCCCGACTGGGGAATGGCTGCCACCTCTTGATGCATGGATCAACACTCAACCACTGAGGCACGCCAGCCAGGATCCATTTTTTTAATATATTCTTCATACATCTTATAATCATTCAGTCTCTGATTCTTAACCTGCATAATTTCTGGCTTTGGTCCCTTAAGCAAAGAGCCACGAGGATACCTCACTGCCATCACCCCTGCCCATGAGCCAAAACATCAGAACAAACTACACCGAAGTGAGGATAAAGAAGCAAGGAATGGTGTTGAAGGAAGAGCTTTCAAGATGATGCTGAAAGTGCTTAGACTAGGCATTTTACCAAGAAAAAAAAATGTGACCCATCCAAAGGGGTCTGTACACGTCTTCTGAAATAATTCTTTTTTCTTTCTTTTTTTTTTTACTTTTTGGTTGAAAATTTTCTTTTTTTTTTCAGCTTTTTTTATTTCAAGAAAAAAAATTTTAAATATAATGTTACATGCAATAAACACCAATTATTCAAGAAAAATGATCTTACATATAATAATATTACATGCAATATACATTAATATTTCAAGAATAAAAAGTTTTTAAGTATAATAATATTACCAAAACTGTACTAACATAGTATCATATCACAAAAGTTGTAGGAAATATTAAAATTCTGCAAATAACAGGATTAGTTTCTAGAATATTTTCCCCCCCTCTGGCTCTATTTTTGTTCATCAGTTTATGTTGTTCATTATATTCCACAAATGCGTGAGATCATATGATATTTATCTTTCTCCGACCTACTTATTTCACTTAGCATGATACTTTTAAAGTCTATTTTGTTGGCTATGAGTACAGTATTGCTACTCCAGCTTTTTTTTTTCTTTTCTATTTGCATGGAAGATTTTTTCCAATCCTTTCACTTTCATCCTGTGTATGTCTTTTGTTTTGAGGTGGGTCTCTTATAGACAGCATATAGTTGGGTCATGTTTTTGTATCCATTCAGATACCCTACACCAGTGGTCGGCAAACTCATTAGTCAACAGAGCCAAATATCAACAGTACAACGATTGAAATTTCTTTTGAGAGCCAAATTTTTTAAACTTAAACTATATAGGTAAGTACATTGTTATTAACTTAATTAGGGTACTCCTAAGGCTTAGGAAGAGCCACACTCAAGGGGCCAAAGAGCCGCATGTGGCTTGCGAGCCGCTGTTTGCTGACCACAGCCCTATACCTTTTGATTGGAGCATTTAATCCATTTACATTTAGGGTTATTATTGAGAGGTACTTATTTATAGCCATTTTAATTCTGTATGGCTAGGTTTCTCTGTTTCTTTTTCTCAGCAATCCCTGACAGCAATCCCTTTAGCATTTCTTGTAATGCTGGCTTGGTGGTGATGAACTCCTTTAGCCTTTTTTTGTCTGAGAAGCTCTTTATTTGACCATCTATTTTGAATGATAGCCTTGCTGGATATAGCAATCTTGGTCTCAGATCCTTGCTTTCCATTACCTTGAGTACTTTTTTTTTTTTTCATAGTCCAGGGTTCCTGTCATCAAAGAAATTCCTACAGAGAAACTCCCAGGACTGTTAACAGGCTTGGTAAAGGGAATGGACTGGGCAGGTAGTTTGCAGGCTCCCTCGACACGCTGGCGTTGAGGGGAGCTGGTGCCTGGTGCCTTGGGCCAGTTAATTGCAGTTAGCCGGCACGCAGCCGTGCCCACCGTGGCATCAGTGTTAAAGACACACTTCAGCCTGTCACACACCACTGCCAATACCAAATACCTATGTTCATAAAGTTAACACATGTAGTGAAGTATCCTTAGCCAGTCAAATGGTACTTGGTGGGGGTAAGTCAACACAATTCACCATCTTTCTTGTGAGTAATAAAACAAGTGTTGGGGTAAGTCAGTTTATTGATGTGCTGTAACCACCACAGACACATTAACCTTCTGGCCTGTAGAGTTTCTGATGTGAAATCAGGTGTCAGTCTTATGGGATCTCCTTTGTAGGTGACAGTTTTCTTTTCTCTTGCTGCCTTTAAGGTTCTCTCTTTGTCTTTAATTTTTGGCATTTTAATTATGATGTATCTGGGCATGGATCTGTTTGGGTTCTTCTTGTTTGGGGTTCTCTGTGCCTCCTGAACTTGTGTGACTTTTTCCTTTACCAGGTTAGGGAAGTTTTCTACCATTATTTCTTCAAATACCTTCTCTATTCCTTTATCCCTTTCTGCCTCTTCTGGCACACCTACTATTCTAATATTGTTACATTTCACATTGTCCCACAGCTCCCTTAAGCTGTCCTCTGTTTTTTAATTGTTTTTTTCTTTTTGGTCCTCTAATTGAGTGTTATTTTCAACTGTCTTCTAATTCACTGATTTGATCCTCAACTTCCCCTAATCTGCTGTGTATTCCTTCCAATGTGTTCTTTATTTGTGTTATGTCATTCTTTATCTCATCCCTTCACTTTTTTCCATCCCTTCACTTTCATCCTGTATATGTCTTTTGTTTTGAGGTGGGTCTCTTGTAGACAGCATATAGTTGGGTCATGTTTTTGTATCCATTCAGATACTCAGACTGTTCTTTTTTCATAGTTACTATATCTTTTTTCATACTGTTGAGCATTTTTAACATCATTACTCTGAACTCTCTGTTTCATATAAATTTCTTATCTCTGCTTCATTTATCTCCTCTTCTGGAGAATTCGCTAGTTCTTTCATTTGGGGGTTGTTTCTTTGTTTCCTCATTTTGTTGTCTGTTTGGGTGTGTGACTATGTTTTAGGTAGATCCTCTATAGTATATACCTCTCAATCTCTAGTGCAGGAGAGTGTTAAAGGCTGTTTCTGACTAATTGGATCAGGCAAAGACTCAAAACCTCCAGAGACCGCCTCTGTCTACAGCAGCAGTTCTCAACCTGTGGGTCGCGAACCCTTTGGGGGTCAAATGACCCTTTCACAGGGGTTGCCTAAGACCATCGGAAAACACAAATATAATTACATATTGTTTTTGTGATTAATCACTATGCTTTAATTATGTTCAATTTGTAACAATGAAATTGGGGGTCACCACAACATGAGGAACTGTATTAAAGGGTCTCGGCAGTAGGAAGGTTGAGAACCACTGGTCTACAGACTAATAGGATTCCCCCAGGCAATCATCCTGAGGTGTGGTGAGAGTTTTTTCAATAGGGTGGGGCAGTTGCTTCTGCCTGGAGGCTAATTGTTACCTTTAATCTCTTAAGTGGCCTCAGGGCAAGGTATTTTTCAATAGGGTGTGTTGACTGTCTTCCCCCCAGGCAAGGCAGATATCTATGTGGGAAAGATGTCCTTCACTGTGTGAGGGAATGACTCAGTGCAGGAAACTTGGGGCGTCTGCCTTCTGAGCTCTATCCCCCAAGTCCCCAGTCCTGAGTTCTGCTCTCATAGCTCCAGTCCACTTCACCCTCCCTCTGCTAGAGCACAAAGTGGGTGGCTCCACAAGGAATTTTTGTGTGTTGGCCCTTTAAGAGGCTGCCCAAACTTTCAGCTGCCACTCCCTGGCAGACAGCACCGCTCTGCTTTTCACAGCTAGATGTTATGTGGGTATCTTCCTCAGTTTGGTGCTCTCTGCTGGGGAGCCCAGCTTCGGATTAGATCCCAGAGTTCTCAGTGGCACCCCCCTACAGCTGAGATATCTCTCCGGGACTTCAGTTGCCGTCTGTGGGTGCCTGGTCAGCCCTTTGGTGCCTCCACCCCTCCTACCAGTCTCTATGTGGTCTCCATCTTCGGTCCTTGGGTAGCAGGGTTCTCTCCTGTGAGTTTTCCATTGATTATTCAGGAAGCCTTTCCATATTTCAGTCATTATTCCATCTTGTGTCTGGGAGCATGTCCGTGCAGCATCCTCCTACTCTGCCGCCATCTGAAAATTTTCAAGGCTATAGTTAGTTGAATTTGTGTCTGATCCTGTGTATTGACTTGTTAGTACACTTCTCATGGTAGGTATAGGTAGGAAGTATTCTGAAATGATTCCTGAGTTTCTGAAATGATTCCTCTGAAACAATTCTAAATACAAGAAGTTTGGTTTTAATTCATTATCTAAGAAAATTAATAAATAGAATGATGGAATTCTAAGTGTAGTGAAACTAGGTCATCAAGGACTAGGACAAACTAGGACAAACCTGCTAAGGTAATATGTCACATAAAAATTAAACTACAAAATGCCATAAACTCATTTAATAGGGAATTTTCTTTTGCTCCCATACAAATTTTTCTTTGTCTCTGTGAGAGATCGGTTTCTCTTTTTAGTATTGAGTTGGAGAACAGAATTGAAATCCATAGGTAAAGAAACTACTGTTTCAAACTGAAGTTGATATATTTGTTTCCAATCTGAGCAGCCCTCAACATCATGAAGTTTGTTTTGAGTTCTCAAAGGCCAGAGCTCCCTTTCGCTCCATGGCTTTGGGGACGGTTGGGTTAGCCCATAATATCGGAGTGCCTGAACGGCCCATACAAGTTGTCTGGTGGGCAGACTGAAATGTGCCAACAGTGCAGCACTGCTCACCTGCAGCGGGTCACAATTGCAGTCAGATGTCTCCATGGTGACGTCTCTGAGCCAGGAGGCCGGACAGTGGGCTTCATGACATGCCACGACTGGAGCGACCATAGTGCCAAGAACAGCTTTGACTACTGTAAGCCATCCCCAAACCTCAAATTCAGATGAAAAAGTTTAAGAACTTAATCCACACTGAGGGATCATTGAGGGTGATTCTGGAGGAAAGTCTCTCTGAGGGAGGTTCAGGGGACCCTTTCAACCCTGTCACTCTCTGGAGTCCCCACAGTGGTACCTAAGAAGAAGGCAAGGCCAGAAAAAAGGATTCTGAGTACTTACTAGACAGAAACCAAGAATGAAAGAATGAGAATTTCATGATTGCTCATTATTATTGGATATTGTGTCTTAAATGGCCTGGTGACTACCTCCATGTACTTATGAATGTAGCACTTTTTTATTAGAGTTGCCCAGAAGAATATAAACTATTGTCCTAATTACTTGTGTAACCATCCTGAAACAGTAAAAATGAGTTTTTATTTCATTTAGGTGGTTCCGGGGAGAAACCTTTCCAGGACCCATGTATGGGCAGAGCTGTTTTCCCTGATCAGGATCCTTGCAGCACCCAAGTAAGACTGTAATTATCAAATGTATTTTTGTTCTGTCTCTGGCCACTACTAATTGTGTTCTTTATTTCCTTTCTAACAGAAAGCTCTTACTATTTTCTCCTACAATTGTGATATTTACTTCTTTTTATTTAATTTTTATTTACTGATGGGGCAGGGGGGGGGGGAGGGAAGATGGGGAAGAGAGTGAGAGAGAAACATCGATTTTTGTTGTTCTACTTATTTATGCATTAATTGGTTGATTCTCTTATGTTCCCTGACCGGGGATCAAACCCGCAACCATAGCATATTGGGATGATGTTCTAATCAATTGAGCTACACAGCCAGAGCATGTCATTTATTTCTTGATCATTGTACTTCTATTCACCAATTAATCAAAATCTAATCCACCAGGATATTTTACCTAACTTTCCTATAGAAAAAAGTACTTAAAAGCAGTCTGGCCCTAACTGGTTTGGTTCAATGGATAGAGCGTCGGCCTGCGGACTGAAGGGTCCCGGGTTCGATTCCAGTCAAGGGCATGTACCTTGGTTGCGGGCACATCCCCAGTAGGGGGTGTGAAGGAGGCAGCTGATCGATGTTTCTCTATCATCCATGTTTCTAACTCTCTATCCCTCTCCCTTCCTCTCTGTAAAAAAACCAATAAAATATATTTTTAAAAAAAGCAGTCTGACACTTATGGGCTTAAATTTCTCAAGTGTTTCAAAGTAAGTTCTGTTTAAAATGTTTGGAGAACCCATCTTAGGCCTCTATACATTATGGTTCTGTCCTCTCAGAGACTGAGTACATTTTATCTTAATGTACTCATAAATGAGAAAAAACATAATTCATTTTCATTGTAAAAATTAAATCAATCACTAAGTAGTCAAAAGACTACTTTCTTAATGGACTATTTTATTTATGTATGTATGTATGTATGTATGTATATATGTATGTATGTTAATCCTCACCCAAATATATTTTCCCATTGATTTTTAGAGACAGTGGAAAGGAGGGAGGGAGGGAGGGAGGGAGGAAGTGCTCAAGTGAGACATCAATTGATCAGTTGCCTTCTGCCTTGACCAGGGCCAGGAATTGAACCTGCAACCCAGGTACATGCCCTCGACCAGGAATCAAATCTGTGACCCTTCAGTGCTTTAATCACTGAGACACACTGGCCAGGGCTGGACTACCTTATTTAACTACTTCTCCTAGAATGTAATCACCTAACTAAGTATAAAAAAGCCAAAATGTCATCTCAAAGAAAATTAGATAGGACTTGTCAAATGGCAATGTCTTTTTTGAAATAGATATTTTTTATTGGTTTTTAAAGAGAGGAAGGGAGAGAGAGAGGGAACATCAATGTGAGAGTGAAACATTGACCAGCTGCCTCCTGCAGGCTCCTAATGGGGATCAAGCCCCAACCCAGGCATTTTCCTGGCTAGGAATTGAACAGGCAACCTTTCAGAGCATGGTAGGATGCCCAAGCACTGAGCCACTCTGGCCAGTGTGGCAATGTCTTTATTATATAACTAGAGGCCCAGTGCACGAAATTCATACACTCAGGGTCCCTAGGCCCGGCCTGCACCCTCTCGCAGTCTGGGAGCCCTCGGGGGATGTCCGACTGATGGCTTAGGCCCGCTCCCATCAGTCGGGCATCCTTAGCGCTGCCGCAGAGGTGGGAGAGGCTCCTGCCACTGCTGCTGCGCTCACCAGCAGTGAGCCCAACTAAGGGCTTCTGGGTGAGCAGTGCGCTCCCTGTGGGAGCACAATGACCACCAAGGGTCAGCTCCTGCATCTGCTCCCTGGTGGTCAGTGTGCGTCATAGGGACCCGTCATTCCGCCATTCAGTCGATTTGCATATTACCCTTTTACTATATAGGAAGTTTAATTTAGACCTCCCTAAGCAGTTCTGCTCTCTTGTCCTGTCACTTTTGTGTTTGTGTTTGTGTTTGTGTGTATGAAATATATATATTCATAATACCAGTAGTGAGAGGTTTGTGTTAGCATTCTAGAAGAATTACACGTATAGAACAAAGTTATGAACCCCAAAATGAAAAATACCTGAGTGGCCAAATAATTGTCAAGCTCATGCATGGTACTCTACGTGAAATAGACCCAGCTCTCTACTTTGTGCCTATTTCATATTCCATCTAATGCATTCAGGTACCTGGTTTCCAAGGCACACAGCAAACCAGATGATGAGAACAGCTGACAAGCAGAGACAGCTGTCATTTTATGTTGTCAGCTACAGTAAGTGGCAGCTGGCTGACAGGGAAAATGGGGGGAGAAAAATCTTCCAAAATGCAAGCAGATATATAAGACCTCAGGTCCCAGAGATCCAGAGCAATTTGGTTTCTGGAAGAGCAGGGCTAAATGGCCTCTGTAATCATCACTCTATTTCAACACAGTGAGATAATTGATTTAATGATGCTCAGATGTTGTAGCTGAAAAAAGATACCCTGGGGATCTAGTCCAACTCTCCCAATTTACCGATGAGGAAATGGAGGCCTAGGGGAACATTGAGAGCCCAGTTCAGGGTCAGCGTGAGTTAGTAGTGAAGCTGCGAATGGAGCCAGGATCTCCTGACCCCAATAAATGTTTTCATGACAAAATGGTTGAAGCCTTGTTGGTTAAATATGAGGATTCACTGAGATAAAGTATAGAAATTTAGCACTTACAGAAAATGATTAAAATCTTGTTAGGTTTTATTATGAATTAAAACCTGCTATTTAAAAAAAGGTTGAGTATTTTTAATATTAATTTATTAAATAACTTTGCTTTTCCACAAAATTAAGTTCCAAGAAGCAATCCATTCTCAGATGCTAAAATGTCACCTCTTCAGAAAGGTTTCCACTGACTACCCTATTAAAAATAGTACCTCTTAGCCCTGGCCTAGTACCTCAGTTGGCTAGAATATTGTCCCCATACACACAGGTGGGATTTCTTTTTTTTTTTTTTTTTTTTTCATAGGTGGGGTTTCAATCCCCGGTCAGGGCACATAGAAGAATCAACCAATGAATGCATAAATAAATGGAACAACAATCGATGTTTCTCTTTCTCTCTCCTTTCTTTCTCCCTCTCTAACTTCAATACATAAAAAAAGTACCTCTTTAACTTTCTCTACATTGATTTCATGCTTTGTAACCTATCAACAGATGAAATTGGATACATATATATTTTACCCATAAAGCTTCTTCTAAAGTTAATAGCTTAAGTATTATGACTTTCTTCTAGTTTTTAAATAGAATAGTCCTCTTCTCTCGTTAGAAAAGATTTAGCCCTTATTCTCAATCTCATCACCACGAAATGACCCATTCATAAGGGCAGAGCTCCTGGAAGAGCAGGAGTTTGAAAACTGAGTCTAACCAGCCTGATTAATAGTGTAATGGGATCCCTTTAAAATGATGGTGCTTAGCTATAAGGATGCATATTCCATTTTTAAGCTGCATTCTATCGATATTTTCTACATGTAGTTATGTTTTAAGAGAAAATATTTGGCCTGTGGTATAGCTGAATTCCTATAACGTAAGCATTTTTATAGCATGGCTCCAAGATTATTCTTATTTTACATAGCAGACAGAACTTAAAACACATACCTGCCTTTCCCATCCTTTTTCTGCATTCTTTAAAATATTAGGTATAGCCCAGCCAGATGTGGCTCAGTGGATGAGCGTCGATGTATGTACCAGGAGGTCATGGCTCGATTCCCAGTCTGGGCACATGCCTGGGTTGTGGGCTCAATCCCCAGGAAGGGGCGTGCAGAAGGCAGCCCATCAATGATTCTCTCTCATCATTAATGTTTCTATTTCTCTCCCTCTGCCTTCCTCTCTGAAATCAATGAAAAAAATTAAATAAAATTATATATATATATACAATATATATAATATATATAATATATAATATATAATATATAATTATATATATTAATATATATTATATTATATATTAATATATATATTAATATATATTATATTATATATTAATATATATTAATATATATTATATATTAATATATAATATAATATATAATATATATAATATAATATATATATTATTATATATATATATATATATTATATATATATATATATATATATATATATATATGTATATCTCAGGTATTTTGCGAGTATGTTGTTTAAAGCTGGGAACAGTGAAACAAGGAAGGGCGTAGGACAGAAGAAACTGGAGGAGAGAGCCTAGGTGGGAGCTTTGGCTTACTGAGAAATGAGTCACAGCAACAGAAATGAGCTTACTGAGAAGTCAGAGAAAAGGAAGCCTTGGAGATAGGTTCAGGGGGTCAGCTGAGGAGGAGCTACTGCTGCCACCGCTCCCCTGGCCACAAGTCTGCTGGGTCCCTTAGAGTTTAGAGATGCACGCATGTGGAGGAAGAAGAAGGGGCCGGGAAAGCAGGCATGCTCCTGGGAGAGAGGGTGCACCTAAAATAGCAGGTATATTATTTCTGATAATCAAGCACAAACTTAAGCACAAATAAAACTAATTAGATATGTCTTAGATTGAGGTGGGAGGACAGCATTTGACATCTTAGTATTAGTTTGATCTCATTTCTTTGTAAAACATTCTTTCTAAATAAGAGGTGGAGAAGTAGATTAGATGGTTGAAGAAAACTTAGAGGAGCACCAAGAAAATACCGCTTCTCCTAAAGCATCAAATAATAAAAGTAATCCCT